TTTAAACACTTCAACTCTTACAACAATGTTTTTATTAGTAGTTAGCGTATTTTTAAACACTTCAACTCTTACAACATTAGTTTTTATTAGTAGTTAGCGTATTTTTAAACACTTCAACTCTTACAACAATGTTTTTATTAGTAGTTAGCATATTTTTAAACACTTCAACTCTTACAACAATGTTTTTATTAGTAGTTAGCATATTTTTAAACACTTCAACTTTCATTAGTAGTTAATAACAAAGTTAAACTGGCATCCTTTCCATAAAGTCCCAATCAATGCGTTTAATATTAAAGTCACACATAGTTATTGCATAAGTATTATTATTATTAACAACCCTGACCTCATTATGTAATTTCTCATTGACCTTTTCTATCTGATAAGATGGTCTATAAGAATTGCTAATTAAAAACTTTGTATCTTAGAAACTTCTGAATGTATAATCCACCATAAGGTTTCAACTTGACTATAATTGTTCATCTCTTCACTCCCTTACATAATTAAAGACCCCCACCTTTCCTCCCTATTTCAAAAATTATATTATATTTCAAATTTCCTATTATCAATGTTCTCCAAATCTAGCCAAGTTTTATTGATTCCCATTATGCCATGGTCTTTCATTTCAAATAAAGACCAGAACTCACCTCTTTTATTCCTGCTACTCCTAGCATTGGAATAATAATAACAACTAATCTTATTTTTTGAATATGGCAGATGTATGTATAAAACTATTATTTGATTTGTTATGTTCTAAATTTCATTTTTTTTTCAGTCTCCACGTTGTTCTGGCTATCTTATCAATTTGTTTAATCCAAGTTTCTGAAGCTTCCCATCACCATCACTACGCAGGTATACTTTAAATTATCGTTGATGAATAGCTTTAGAGCTGCTCCAAACATCTTACTACCTAGCTTGCTTAACTCCTTTGCTTCACGATAACTTTAGAGTATATGCTCGTGGAAGGGACAAGGATTCCAATTTCAGAGTTTTAGTAGTATATAGATTGGTACTTGAATTTTTGCTGAACCTAAAATTTTAGACTCAACGTTTTACCTCTGTGAACCTTTGTAAACCCAGTACTATCATCCTGAAGCAATCTCTAACTCGATCTATTTTCTCTTGCTCACTTGATTCCTACTCATAATCTGCTGTTCTCCCCTACAACAGCGCGATTTTATCCATCTCTACCTCATCCTTAATTGAGCAAATTCTGCATATATAATGTACTGTATCTTTCTGAGCATTCTGAAGGTCGCAGTCAAGCCACAATTCTCAAACATAACCCAATCTTGACACCTATCGTTCTTTATAAATTCGAACCCTCTTACCCCAGAAATACATCTAATAATAATGAAGTTTACTAGGCCTTAATTCTCTATTACAAATCTATCCAACCAAAAATTGTATATTTGCTGTTAACATTTTAACTAAACTTAAGCTATTTCACAATTTGTGGATTAAACTGTAGATAATCTAACACGAAAATATCCCCTTAACTAACATTAATACTAATAATTCATGTTATTAAACTATGATGTACACTACCTTTTCAGTTATATTATCTTCAGTTTAATTCACAGGGAGAATCAGTTTATCTTAAGAATTGAAAGTATTGTTTCTGTTATTATTTGGTAGCCGTTAAGAATCTAATACATTAATCAAATTATTTCAATTAACAATTAGTGTATTAGATTCTTAACGGCTACCAAATAATAACAGAAACAATACTTTCAACTTGATTTCTTGATTTACTTGATTTCTTCTCCCAAGCAGTATGATGAACTATGAATTTGGCGAAACTAGTCTACTGCAGCGAGCATAAAGAAACAAATAATAAATTAGGTCTCTACTTCATTCATGGATTCTTACTTTTTCTTCACTGAAATTACATATTTTGGTGAGGAAAAGAAAAATTTGCATTTAACAGTAAGCTAGATTTAGTGACGTAGTCTGAAGTCCAATGACGTAACTTTAGGCTTAGGTTTTGAACTACTGTTATTCAACGGCAGATAATTGTTCGAACTTCAAATGAAGACTATTTAGTTAAAACTTTTAACATGTAATTTCTTCTGTAAGCCTTCTAAAAAAATTCTGCAATACATAATCAAAATAATGACAGAAATAAGCTGTATCTGCACTAGAGGGTTTGATTAGGGGTTTCCACATCAGTAATGTCTCATAAAATTATATTTTACAGCTTTTCTTAATCGGTTATATAAATACAAAAACATGAAGAAACACTAGTAATGTAATTTCTAAGCTTCATAAAATCTACTAGAGTGGATTTTTGTTTAAAACAATGCTATAAAAAATTATCTTAAATAAATTTAGATTATTTAAGTTATATACTGAATTGTTCTTTGTCTCTTTATAAATATAAGAATTTACTAGCTTTCCTCGAACTCTTATTATGACCTCATAGTAACTGTATAAGTCGTGTAACTAGAACAAAGTTTTGGCTGAAGATCAAAATACAGATATTGTGTGAGATAGGTGGCATTGGTAGAAACTACCGTACTCTTCGGTTTATTAAGTGGTGGTTTCGTTGAATTTGTTTTGTATGTTTGGGCTAACTAGTTACGAAGTATCCAAATACTACCTACCTTACTCTGTGGTCTATAGTTCCTAACTAAGAAATTTATAAATTATATTTAGTTTTGAAATATAATAAATATGATGTGTTAAATTTAGCTTGATGTGTTACGTTTTGAATTTTAATTGGTCAAGGAATTTACCTACTGTTTCATTGGATAGTTCCCTTGTCGCCTGCATGACACTGTGTGTGTGTGTGTGGGGGGGGGGGGATATCTTTGCTACTCTCACCCAGAAGAGAGATACTTCCACAATCCAGTGTGTATTTTCTGATTGGTCAGCTACAGCAAGAAGGTTTTGTGTTAATTCAGTTTTGGCAATTTTCACGAGAGATTCATTCTGACCGTTGAGGAGAACAAACTTGTTTCTGTCCTGAAGGAGCCAAGACTTGCTGGTGAAGTTTCATCCGTGTGTGAAACTTTTACTCGTTACTCTGCTCATAACTCCAAACAACTACATGATCGTATCTTCAATTATTCAGTAAATAAAGTCTCATTTTTTGCTTCAAACTTCAACACCGTGTCTTATTTCTTTCAATCCACTTGCAACAGATTACTACACTTTCCTACCACATACGAATCTATTGTTTTTACGTAGATCATGTGACTGTGCCCACGTTCAACCTAGAATTACATCATATATTCCTTCTAAATGAAGAAGGTTACAAAAATTTAATTCATAAATGTCAGAATATTTAACCGTTCATGAATATTCATGAAAAACCACTGAAGTAAAGGAAATTCAATGCTATGGTATCTTTTCCAAAACTGGATTCGTATGTGCTATGATGCTTTAATACATTTTTGCTTGCTCTGTAGTTTATCTTACGACAATCTGGTTCAGGCTACATAAAGCATAACATACCATGACTAACCATGCTGTTTTTGGTTGCTTCATTGTCAAAATCATTGAGTTGAAATGAGATAAAAGCTCCGGAGCAATAGAAAAACATAATAATGCTATTTTAATGAATTTGATTGACCGATATCGTCTACAATACATTAAAATGTTTTCTAAATATGCTATGACACCTGATTTCTTAAAATAAAAAATGTATTTTGATAAGAAGACTGTCACGAAGATATTCTTGTAAATTATGTTAATATTAATTTTCCCCCTTTTTGCAAGAAAAACTTTGGATCTATTATATCTTAAATGTATTCTATACTCGAAGTAATGTTATACTGAGAAAATAATGCTATAATGGGATAGAACTCTAGCAGATATCAAGTATTTACGTATTTGATTCGCTAAAATTATATAAGATAGACCAATTTTTCACTACTTTCCTAGATTCAACTTTAGCTTTATAAAAATCATTTTATAAACTATTGTGTTGTCTTCGAGAAGAAATTAATAACATTGAAAAAATGTATTGGCCTATAATCATTAAGAATTCAAGATAACGCCTTAGGGCATTGTTCTCGAGATTCCTGGTAGGTGGAGACACTGTAGACGAGAATGACTGTTTAAGTTTATATTTTCATATATATATATATATTTTTACTGAGATTTAAAAAACACCACCGTCAACTAGAAACCTTACCGTCAGTTAGCCATGACGACAGAAGAGAAGGATGTTAAAACCAAATTAACTGGAGATTTTCGTGATTCTTGGGCTGAGAAGATTAAAGGTACCTAGTCTTCAAATGTTTTTTCTACTTTATCATTAAGTAGATTTGTTTGCTCTAATGATAATTATACTTACCGTTTAATAAAGCTCATACCTACGTTTAAACATGAAACTTTGTAACCATACTATTCGTATAGCACGCCGGTGTAATGATGAATGGCTCGTGCGCTTTGACCGATACCCAATAGGTATTAAAATAATAACAAACGGCCTTCGTTCTAAGCCGACTCGGAATTTTTATAATTTAGAGTACATTAGTTTTCCAAAACAATATGTCATGCCAATTTACCCAGCGTTATGATGCAGTGCTTGGCTTGTGAGTTGAAATTATTATCTTCCAGCAAAGCTTATGTACGTCTGTGTTTGAGACACAGACAGTCTGTTTATTTTCTAAAATAAGTACAAAATTCTGTATTTGAGGTATATATATTTTCGGTTTTAAACAGAATTATGGACATCTGTATCCAAGACACAAGTAATATGTTTATTTTTAAAAAGAACCATAGAAGGTTGTACCTGTGTGCCTGGGACACAAATGATCTGTTTATTTTTAAACATTATTGTACAAACTTATATTTGTATATGTATTCCAATAGAATGACAGGAGTTCAAATAAACTCCTAAAGATTAAAGGGGCAAGATGTTTTAGTTAAATTGTCCATTAACCAAATGAACAACAAGAGCTGACATTAGATCAAATTGTGTTACATTGACAATATTCCGCTATACTTACAATTTGTGGTACGTTAGTATTCTCAAGTGTAAAGTTGCTAGAGTTGAATCTGACCAGGGCCCGCGCCAGCTATTTTTTAAATGGCTGCCACCTTCCCTCCAATTTGACTTTTAAAAACCTTATAGCTATAAATATAATCATATTTATTTGTTTATTAAAGCCCGAAAAAATTTTCAATAACAGTTAACACGTGTAAATTCAATGTTTTACAGTGATAGAATTTTCACTTTTCTTGCGAAATTGAGGCGAAATCTCATACTATCTGCTTCAAGTCCAAGTTTTGTGCAATTTCATGTTTTAATCAATTTAGTTTGGGAAAGATACTTTCTCTAACAGCAGTGTTGATGGGCAAAGTCAACAGGAGTTCTCAGAGCAATAAAGTGTTGTGAAACGACGCTTGCTAATTTGTTCTTGCAAAATGAATGCATTTTAGCATACTTTTATGAACTTAAGTCATTATTTAAGAGAAGGGTATGCAATTCGTCATATAGTTATATTGCTCTGGTGTCAGTTACTTTGCCGTCTGATGAGCCAATGGAGTGTTTCATTGAAATATCGATGATATTTTCGATAAGTTAGTATTTCAGCACAGGAAATTTCCAAATGAACTGTGTTCCTATAGTTGCCGAACACTTTCTTCCATGGTTCCAGTGAATGTGTTAACAATGATATTTTGCTGTGGATCAAGCATGAGTTAACCACAACTTGCTTATTAAAACTGTATCATTTTTCGTGAACGAACTTGCTATTCTTGTGCATATTTGACAATGATTTATATTTCTTCTGCAAGCTCCCTCGCGTCCACCAATACATTTAAAAGGCGAAAACTGATGAAGAAAGTTTTCTTTTTCCACTTACGGAATAACTCTAGACATGTTAATACTTCTGTCTTGCAGCTGGTTATTGGTGAAGTAAATTTCAAACAACAAGTCGTCTTATATCACGATAATCCACAAATCTGAAAATTAGCGTTTCGGTGGCAATTGATTTTGCTTTGAAATATACTCTGGTCTAATGGCTTTTGTGAAGGTATTGTCTTCTGCAATGTAGACCAGAGTCCCGTATACTTCTTCTAGTGGGTATTGGGATATATGAACAGCAACACTTCTACTTTTCATTCAGCAGTAACGGGAAACATGTTGCAGTAATAAATGCTTTGAAGCAAGGCGAAGAACATAACTGCTTCGATTCAAAAGTTTGCTGCATCATTCAACATGAGGTTCACAGAATGTGCATCGTAAGCTACAATAAAGACCTTGGAATTAAGTTTATAATTCTGTTGTTTTTTAATGTCGACTAAATTCTCATATCTTTCAGATTTAAATTTTCTCAGAACAATGGTGGTTATAATGGTACTATTTGTGTTTTTCAGTGGTATAAGCATGTAGAAAATGCTCGTGGATATTGACCTCACCATCTTAAGCTCCAGATGATTCAGTAGCTGTGACAAATCGAGTGGTCACTCTTATTTGTTCTATATAACTTATGTGTAAAATATAATAAATCACAACTGGGTAGCAGTAGTAAACATATGAGTCTTATTCTTGGTGTAAAACAATTGATTGATAGGAGTATGGTCCTTGGTATAAGACAATTGATTGATAGGAGTATGGTCCTTGGTATAAAACAATTGATTGATATAAGTCTAGTTCCTGGTTTAAAACAACTGATTGATAGGAGTATGGTTCTTGGTATAAAACAATTGATTGATAGGAGTATGGTCCTTGGTATAAAACAATTGATTGATAGGAGTATGGTCCTTGGTATAAAACAATTGATTGATAGGAGTATGGTCCTTGGTATAAAACAATTGATTGATATAAGTCTAGTTCCTGGTTTAAAACAACTGATTGATATGAGTCTAGTGCTAATGGACTTTTTACGTGGTAATTCCTCCAAGATGGTCTTTCGTTACATGATCAAACATATTTCTAGGTGTGAAGATATTCTCTTGACTTCCACGTAGGGCAATCAATATTTGTTTTGCGTACTTTCTGACAAACAAACAGACAACATCAACAGAAATTTCTACTTCATAAGGAGGGAAACTGAATGTTTCAACCTGCTTTCACATTAGCTACCTTGAGCACACGTGCTCAAATGAGAAAAGCATAATAAAAGAGGAGGTATTCACAGATAAACTGATTTTTAGTTTCTAGCCTTTCTATTTTGCCTACTTTGCCTATCAGATCACGTTGGCCCTACAGGCTTGACTGAATCCACTTTACTGAAGCAGCTACATTTATGAAAAACATACATTAAGTAACGAGTATGGACACTTTGGGCATATTTCTGACGAGTTAATGGATGATGTTATGGAGCATCATGGCCTGTTCCTCAATTAGTGAAACGCCAAGCTCTCTGATCACGCAGAGTAGGTTAAAGCATTGAGGTACACAAGGTCCAAGGGGGTCTTAGAGGTGTTTTATAGGATTTAAATTAAGATTCATGCTGGCCAATCTATGACCTCTACGGTTTCTTGTTTAAAATAACTTACTATAGTTATAAATGTATGACAAGGGGCGTCATTATTCTTTAGGATAAAGTCTGATCCAGTCGCCTCCAAATTATACAATTGGGTCATTACCATATCAATATATCACCAAGCAGTAAATACACCCTTCGGAAGCACAATAAAATCTGTATATCCGTTCACACCGGTGCCTTACTATTAGTTTAAGTAAAGAAAAGAAGTTCTAACACCTCTAATCCGGGTATTCGTTTCTGTACTTTTAACCTCACATAGTCAAAAAAAAAATGTTTTTGTGTGAAAATAAAAGAACAGAGAAGATCACCCAGTTCCATGGTTCCTGTTGATGTGTGAAATTAAAAATGTAGATACGACCACTTAGTTTAGTGGTTTCCTTTTCTCCGTGTGAAACTATAAGTACAACGACTACGACCCAGTTCAGTGGGTCTTCTTGACTGTGTAAGAGTTAAAGTACAAAAACGACCATGCATTAGTGGTTCTTTTTTGCTCTTCGAGGTCAAAGTACAGTTACGACCACCAAATTTAATGGTTCTTTTTTTTTATTTTACTGTCTGAAGTTTAAAGAACAAAGACGACCACCGAATTACGAATTTACTGATTGTTGTTTTCTATGAGAAGTTAAAATTATAGAGACGACCACCCAATTTAGTGGTTTCTTTCTGACTGTGTGAAATTAAAATTATAGAGATGACCACCCAGTTTAATGATTTCTTTCTGACTGTATGAGGTTAACATTATAAATGACCACCCAGTTTAATGATTTCTTTCTGACTGTGTGAGGTTAGAATTATAGAGATATGACCAATTAATTTAGTGGTTCGAAGCCCACAAAACTAAGGTGGTCGGTCGTCTCTTTAACTTCATTCAGCCAACACAAACCACTAACATGAGTAGGCGTCTCTATACTTTTGATCTTACATATATAACAAGCACTACTGATGTGGATAGACTACGTTAGTCTTCTCTCCTCACAAAGGTAATGAATACAGAGTCCTTTTTGTGTTTGTTGGTAAAACAAACTGAATCTCAAGCATGTCGACAGGAATAGTAATTTGATTTATTCATAAGTAACTCAATTTGTATTCTTGTACACGAAAAAGTAAGCTTTATTAATTAATATATTTGATCACTTCCTGTTTGTTTGTTCTCTTTATTATAAAGTTGGCGAAATAGTAATTGGATTTATTCATAACTCAATTATTATTCTTGTACACGATAAAGTAAGCTTCATTAATTAATATATTTAATCACTTCCTGTTTGTTTGTTCTCTTTGTTATAAAGTTGGCAAAATATTGCATTTTATCAACAAGGATTTTTTTTTAAATAGTGACTCAAAAATACATTAATAAATAAACTTTTTTGAGGTACTAGACGATGAAACATGTTTTTTATTTGGTATTGCTTTCAAAAATTGGTAGCCATATTTTGATGACTATGACAGAATGATTCTTTAAAAGGATCTTGTTTGTTTATTTTTAATTTCGAACAAAACTAAACGAGGGCTATCTGTCTAGTCTTCCCTAATTTTAAAGTGGGAGATTAGAGAAAAAATAGCTAGTCAACATCACCCACCGTCAAGTGTTGGACTATTCTTTACCAACTAATAGTTGGATTGACCGTGACATTATAATGCCCTCACTGTTGAGAGGCCTAATATGTTCGGAGACGGGATTCAAACCAGGACCCTCAAATTGCGAGTCGAGTGCTCAAACCATCAAGTAATGCCAGGCCTTAAAAAGATCTATCTATTATTATTACTATTATTATGATCCTAATGAAAGATGTTAGTAAATTACCGGTAAACGAATCCAAACATTATAAGAATAATTAACTAGAGATTTCTAAACAAATTCAATCAAAAAAGGGGAATATTGCTTGAGTGATATACCTGAGAAATGCTAAATATTTGATTCTCCAAAAATATTTTTATTGAACGAAAGATGTCCTTCAGTTAATTAAAGTTGAACATGCAAACCAATAAAATAGTTATTATTATGTACTCACAAAACCACTGTAATTAGCATTTGTATTTTAATTTTTAGTATTTGTGCAACGAAGGAATAGTGTAATATTATTAATATTACTTAAATTTCGTACATTGTAAATTACTTTGATGCGTGTTAGCACGAAGCAGTAGGCTTAAAGTATCGTTTTCTTGCAGAGAAAACTAAGTTTTCCAGACAAGATACTAATAAGAAGTTTTTCTTTAAATATCAAGATCATTTGCCAGGATAATGTGTTAAAGCCCTTTTTCTTTGAGGCAAATTCCTTTTTTTATAGAGCAAAAGAGCTCAAAAGGTGAAGTTACATAATGGGAACAATTATACGTTAAAATGTGTAAATTATTTTTTGAAGCAAAAGGCATTTAATTCCGCTATCTATTTGTCTTTACACTCACTCGACGCACAACTACTAGAATATTGTGTTTCTTAACTACTCTAAAAATTGATTTTGTTAAATATTTCGCCACATACCATGGACGCCATCTGAATTGGCTTTACAATTCTTAGGTGCAGTTGCTTTTCATTAAAAATTCCATTCTAGACATACAATAAAAGCTCTGCAACGAATCCTATACAATACATTGAACTGATATGACTTGTTCGTAAAGATAATATTTTCTTTATTTTGTAAAATATCGAAAATTACTTCGTAATTTTTATGCAAGACTTTAAAGCATTCCCGTATACGTCATTATTACATTTATCTAATTAATGAGCCAAAGGTTGACTGTGTTATATTGGTAGCGGAGAATAAATATGGGTAGAATTTATATTTATTGTATATAGATAAATGTTTTACAAGTGACCAATGAAGTTTCTTGTTATGTTAGAACGTTCCAGAACTTTCTATAAACAACGTGATGAGTATATTTAAATGCTACATACAACTGTGTAAACGACATAAAAATGTGTTTGAACTTGCAAATCAAAATATACTTTCCTGCCCATCATCTTTCAAACCTGAATTGTAATGCAATCGCTCAATCGATAATTGAGTCAAAAAGATAGTCTCTAGCAAAGGATTGAATGTCACCTTCAAAAACTTGTAATTTAATTAAAATTTAATAGGACGAAACGTTTCTTCCTACACGTAAAAAAAAGCTCAGATAAACAGTTTATTTATTAAAGTAAAATAAAATTAAACAGCTGTGTATAAATATATAAAATACAACGAATGACATTTTACCACACGTGTCTTATGAAGAATCTGTTTCAATCTTTCTTTCCGTAGAGGAGGATCCTGCTAATCTATGGGAGGACGAGGAAGACAGTTCTTTTACCATTAAGGAATGTGGATCTAAGTGCTACCGACAATTTTGTTCATTAAAGTGCTTGAAACGTAGAATCCCGATTATTACCTGGCTTCCCCACTACTCGCTGGATGACGTCAAAGGGGATGTCGTGGCCGGTGTGACAGTAGGTTTAACTGTCATACCACAGAGCTTGGCGCTAGCAGTTTTAGCAGGACTTCCACCTCAAGTACGATGTTTATATTTCCTATAATATTAGTTCTAAGTTTAAACTACCTATATTTGAATGATAGATATTTATCAAATGGTTTATTTTTTGTGTATTAGTTTCTCAGCAGTAATATTATTAACACCATGAATACAAAAGTTAAACATTATCAATCTGATTGGCTTCAGAAGAGCATATTTCACCCCTAAAGGCACAATAGTGAATTATAGTATCTACAACGGAGCGATAATATACCCTAAAATGATATGAATTCAAACAAATAAACATAATTTAATCTAATAATGATCCGTCCACGTTATATGCCATTCTTTGTAAGAGAGTCACAGTTTGTTCTGCTTTATGTATATGCGCTAAATAAAGTTAAAACGAAATTTGCATTGTGGTTTAGTTAATTTACGTATTAATAAAAACATAATGTTGAAAGAAAAATTGATAGCTTGGTAAACATGTTCAGACTGATAGTATTTTTTTTATCTGAATTAATTTTTTGTTGAATATAACAATAAATGCCATTAACTCGGATATTATTATCCTGTTGACGTATGCATGGCTTATATACAAAAACTAATCAGTTGTAGAAAAACCAACAGTAGGTCTAACGATTCTTTTTCATAAAATTTTACCGTTTTGATGACAAAGAAAAGCCATAGTTTTATACAGTTGTTATACACAAGGTTCTTAACAACCGAGGAATAAGTTTCTAGATAACTTTAAAATATGTTGATTATTATTGAAATTTCACTGCATTGTTTTATTATCAGTATTTGATTTATACATGCTTCATGATATTTCACTGTGTTGTATAGTTTACAGTATGCTTGATACATAGTCTTATGAAACATCATTGTATTGCTATTTTTTCATTATGCTTTATATACAACATTCATGAAACGTCACTGTATTGTTTTTTTGCAGTATCCTTTACATAAAGCCTTCATAAAATGTCGCTATATTAGTTTGTTTGCAGTATGAAATGTCACTGTATTGTTTTTTTCTTCAGTATTGTTTAGATAAAGCCTTCATAAAATGTCACTATATTAGTTTGTTTGCAGTATGAAACGTCACTGTATTGTTTTTATTTTTCAGTATGGTTTATATACGGCCTTCATAAAATGTCACTATATTAGTTTGTTTGCAGTATGAAACGTCACTGTATTTTTTTTTTCCAGTATGGTTTATATACGGCCTTCATGGGATGTTTCATGTACGTCTTATTCGGAAGCTGTAAAGATTTGACCATTGGCCCAACAGCAATAATGTCACTGGTGACTTTAGAGCACGTGCAGATTGGTGGTATCACTTATTCCGTGCTGATTACGTTTTTCAGTGGTTGTATTCAACTTCTTATGGGATTTCTCAACTTAGGTGAGGTCTGTTAACCATGTCACTGGTTCTAATTTAACCAAACAAAACACCTTTTACTTGCTGCTGCTCAGTGTCGATGTCCACTTGGTATTAGAGAGAACAAAACTATAACTAGAACAAAAATACAGAATTCAATTACAATTGTCGAATTTTGTTCAAAGGTTTAAAAGTATGAGTTTAAGACATTTATACATAGTTTATTATGAAAAAGTGTAAGTTTGAAAGAGTATAGGAAAGGGTTCAACTTTCTTGCATCATTTGGACACGAAAGCTTACAGCAAAATTAACAATTATAAGTTATAAATTTATATTATTAAAAGTAAGCACATCGCCGTTGTGACTCGGTGGTAAGTCTAAGGACTAATGAAACTAAAGATCGGTTTCGACACTTGCCTTGGGCAGAACATTGATAGCCAATTATGTAGCTTTGCGCTCAACAGTAAAGAAACAAACAAAAATAAAATGAATGCACAAATTTTATTTTGTATTTTGGGCATTCTTGCTATCATATTAAGTTTCATTTTTATATCTATTTCCTTTGAGAGATATTAACCAGTTGCTAAAGTACAAGAGAAATCTGTTTATATTGTTTCTCATCACCGCAGATTTCTGTTTTATCATGGAGAATTTATTACATACAACAACACTGTTTGTCAACACTGCAGACTTCGGTGTTGTCACGAAGAACTTATTACACACAGCAACATTTTGTTTCTCAACACCGCAGATTTCTGTTTTATCATGGAGAATTTATTACATACAACAACACTGTTTCTCAACACTGCAGACTTCGGTGTTGTCACGAAGAACTTATTACACACAGCAACATTTTGTTTCTCAACACCGCAGACTTCTGCGTGGAGAATTCATTACACACAGCAACCCCACATAATTCTGTGTTGTCATAAGAAGTTATTACGCATAGCAACACCGTTTCTCAACACCATAGACTTCTGTATTGTTATGAGAAGTTATTACACACAGCAACACCGTTTCTCAACACCATAGACTTCTGTGTTGTTATGAGAAGTTATTACACACAGCAACACCGTTTCTCAACATTGCAGACTTCTGTATTGTTATGAGAAGTTATTACACACAGCAACACCGTTTCTCAACATTGCAGACTTCTGTATTGTTATGAGAAGTTATAACACACACAGCAACACCGTTTCTCAATACCATAGACTTCTGTATTGTTATGAGAAGTTATTACACACAGCAACACCGTTTCTCAACATTGCAGACTTCTTTGTTGTCTAGGTGATTCTAGAAGACATTTTTTTCATGATATTACTAAATGGTACACACTATTTTTTCTATTTTTATCCCTTTTGGAAATCATCGCTAATGAAGATAGTTCTATTTTTGGAAACTATTTGATTATAGCTCTTAAAATGTGATTTATCAGTTGTTGTGATTATTCGTACTCTGGTTGTTGTGATTAAACACTAGTTTATAACTCAGTAAAATATATAGTTTTCACCTAGTTCGGGAAGCTCATCCAAATGAATTTTGCACAATTATTTGCAGGTTTCCTGATCAATTTTATTTCTGCACCAGTTATAAGCGGTTTCACTTCTGCGGCAGCCATTACTATCGCAACCACTCAACTCAAAGTAAGCGTCAACTATCTTCTTGCGTTATGGTCTTTTGAGGATCTTAGATTAACATCAATTGAAATTCATTGAAAATTTATTTGACGAAAGGGGTAATTCTATAACAGAACAAAAAATGTTATTTTATTATTTTGCTGATACTAGGAATTGAAGTATTCATATGGTACATCTAATTTATAGATGAACTAGTAAATAAAAACTTGGTCTAAAGTCGTCAAAACTAAAAATATTCTTTTGAACACAGATTATGAAATAATTTCACATGAACATATGTTTTCTTCATATATACTTTAATCTAAGAATTATAGATAAGATATATTTTATCTGAAAGTGGTTTGGGAATACCACAGACTAAACTTTCTTTTCTTTTTTGAAATGATAGAAAGTTCTACGATGTTTAAAAATGCCGTTATCATTATTACAAATTTCTGATCAAAGCAAGATATCCAAAATAAATCTGAACTAAAAACTACTCCAGTGAATTATTTAATATACAGGTCTAACTAGAAGTTTGAAATGTTCAAAAAACAAAAATACATAATGATTAGAATGCACTGATTTATCAAATGGATTCTCTCACTGTTATTGGTATTTTCGGCCATAATCCCAATGATATCACCGAAGGTTCAACCAGCTTAAGATACTTAGGCTAGTTTTAAATCCATACACTAAGCTAACAATGTAAAATACTTGTCAAAGTAATGTATGAATATATATATATATAATAAACATATGATAAATATCAAAAATGAAATATATAATAAATATATGATAAATATCAAAAATGAAATATATAATAAATATACAACTACTACTGCTAATGAAACTAATAGTAAATGTGTTATATCTCTAGGGAATGTTTGGGCTGAAATTTCACTCTGAAGGATTTACTGACACTCTGTATAACTTTTTTGCCAACATCACCAGCACAAGGTAAGTCGATAATTACTGTATAACTGATGGAAAACTAACTAATCTGTTTCATTGTTTCTCCTTAAACGTAATGATCAAAAGTTAACTTTCTCGTTTCAGGACGAACTATTTTTACTATTCAGTTCAGTATAATTTACTATATTGTTTTTCGTTTCGTCATGAGTAGTGAAAATCATGTTTCATTTTTCGCTTTGAGCATTACGTACGTCATGGGAAGTGAAAAACTGTCATTTCTGTTTGTCATTACGTACGTAATAAAGAGAAAACAATTCCACTATTTCTATATATTGATACGCAAGTCACGTTCTGAAAGAAGCCAATATTTCTATATTTCAGCATGTATGCAACAAACACTCAATATCTCTGCTATATATCTAACAAGGAGTATAAACATTTCAGCCTTTTAAATATTACTACCACTTTGTGTGCAAGAACATGCACCATTTGCGCTTCTTACTAAGTTGATAACCGGGTTGATTCTACCATCAATTTAAAATGCTAGTGCCTATGTTAGAGAGTTAAGAAGTGCAACATTTCAGTGTGCTACTGCAGAAGTAACAGAAAGCAATTCCGGTACGACGTCTGTGTATTATTATATATGTAACAGAAAGCAATTCCGGTACGACGTCTGTGTGTTATTATATATGTAACAGAAAGCAATTCCGGTACGACGTTTGTGTATTATTATATATGTAACAGAAAGTAATTCCGCTACGACGTCTGTTTGTTATTATATATGTAACAGAAAGCAATTCCGCTACGACGTTTGTGTGTTATTATATATGTAATAGAAAGCAATTCCGCTACGACGTTTGTGTGTTATTATATATGTAACAGAAAGAATTCCGCTACGACGTCTGTTTGTTATTATATATGTAACAGAAAGCAATTCCGCTACGACGTTTGTGTGTTATTATATATGTAATAGAAAGCAATTCCGCTACGACGTTTGTGTATTATTATATATGTAACAGAAAGTAATTCCGCTACGACGTTTGTGTATTATTATATATGCAACAGAAAGTAATTCCGCTACGACGTCTGTGTGTTATTATATATGCAACAGAAAGTAATTCCGCTACGACGTCTGTGTGTTATTATATGCGTAGCAGAGAGCAAATCCGGTACGAGGTCTGTGTGTTACTACATACATAACAGAAGGAAATTCCGCTACGACGTCTGTGTGTTGTTATATATAACATAATGTTTTAGGACAACATGGGACCTATTGGGCCATCTCGACTGTTCTATCCTCTAAACTAATTAAAATATGTAAAAAAACAACAACTTAAAGCCAGCCCTTATTATTCATATACTTATCAAGCTTTTTCTTAAACTTACCGTATTTGACGGCTTATAGGACGCACTTATTTCCCAAAATTTTGGCTCAAAAAATCGCCCTGCGTCTAATATGCGAAGTTGAGACCTTCCGCAGGCCAATCTTCTTCATAACGCTCACTATCCTAGCATACGATCAGTACAGCATTGCAACTACGAAATAAGAAATAGGAAATTTGCATAGGCCAGACGCAGTCGAATTTTCAGCATCCTGTTA